TCCTTTCTCCTTCCCTCTCTCTCTCGCCATTTTTCTCCTCTCCCCCTCAAAACTTCAGCCCTCATCTCATCACCCTCCCTCGCTCTCCCTTTTCTCATTGTACGCCGGAAAAGCTCGCCTCTAACCGCCGGAGAATCCATCGTTTGTCGCTACCGCATGCACACCCAAGACAACGCGCGAGAGCCGCGACCCCGCCGCGTCCTACCCTCCGTGAGCTGCAACCTCTGGTCACCACGCACGATCCAAGGAGTTCCCGAGGACCTATGGACGTCACCTTTTCCATGCGAGCTAACCCCCAACGCCGAGCACGCCTAGCGGACGAGTTCCCTGACCGTAGGAGCTGAACTGAGCCTTGTCGCGCCCGTGTCTTCTTCTACCCTTGGCGCTTGGGTAGTCTCCTAAACTCCATTAAATATTATGTGTTTCATATGTGTCATGGCTGAATATATGATATGATATGTGTTTTGATGTCAAAAGGTTGTCATAATGTATTATTTTTATATTCATGAATCTGATCTTTAGGGTTTAAATTTGAAACCCATAGGATATGATGTGTACTCATGGAAATCTTGTGGATTCTAGAACATATGAGTGTCCTGGTGATAATGGTTTTGACCTTGTGTCATTTGGAGTTCCAAATATGGAGTTATGAATTTTTGAATGTGGTGTTGCTGCAATGATTTGTAAAATCCGTGATAACTCGAGTTGTTGTCCAAACATGCTGAATTTTTAATATGTTGTTCCTTTGATGTATCTTGTCGTTGTGTATAAATTTTATAATTTTTGGAATCCATTTGCTTGGGTAAATATTTACTTGAAAGTTTCTACAGAATATTGTATAAATAATGAAAAATCGACCCCTTGTTGAAAATGATTGAATTTTGGTTTATATGCGCATTCGATGACGTGTTATGTGATATAAGAATCACAAATTTTATTGAATTCATTTTGGTGGATTTTTGATGAAAACATGATTTCTGCTGAATTTTGCAATGATTGCTATAATTCGTGCATTTAATGATTTGAGCTGAAATTTTTATATGTTTATCCTCACATACTGTACTTGTTTGTGTTAAAATTTCAGGACTTAAATCGTTCGTTAGGTTAGACTTTAAATTCATGCTCGTTTTTGCTGAAATATTGTTTTAATTTTATAAAATCGCATGTTTAAGTGTTATGGTTGAATTGATGTATTCAGTGAGGTGTTTCATGTGCCTAAATTTCGAAAAAAAATTCATCCATTTGGCTGTTCAACAGAAAATGTGATTTACTTGTCAAATTTTTCAAATATTGGTTGAATAAGTTAACTGATGAATTTTGACATGATTTTTAATATATGATGTCCTCTTTGCATGTTTTATAAGTGGTGTGAAATTCATGTTAAATGGCTGAGCATATTATGAGTTAGTCTTTTTATGTGTTTTTCCTTTTTGGTTTGAGTCGAGTCGACTGTTCCATAATTACACGAGAATTTTCCACGAGCCACTTAGTCGACGGATTTGACTAAGTTTGTGTGATCATTGGACTTGTTGTAATCGAGAGGTCATCTTGATTTTGTGTAGGTGTTCCGAGGTGTTGACTTCAAACCCTATCCTCTCGAGCTTTGTTTGTGAATTGTCGATGCTTTCAGCTGAGTACATTTACGTTGTATCTATAATTATCGCACTCATTATTTCGTATAAATGTTTGTCTCGATGGATTTTTTATGCGTGAGAACCCTAGTCTAGGTGTCCCGTTGTTAGTGCCTTTGATGAAATGCATAAGCAGCGAGAGGTCACCTGCCCGTTGCATCCGGGAGGAGGATTCCCCGGTCCGTGTGTTATTCGGAAGGGGAAAACAACTCAACTGTCTCCTGGAAAGGATCCCTTAGCCGTTGTAGCCGGGATGGGAAGGTTTCCAGTTACATCCTTGTCGATGTCTGGTCGGAAGGTTTGTTGTATGTACATAAGAAGTTTGCGATAGAGCCAAGTAAGGAGTTAGACCTGGATTCTATGCATACATTATTTATGGTTTTCAATCTTTATGCGGGATATACTGTGCGATAATGGTGAGCATAATGGTTTGCTCACCCCCATTACTTTTTTCCTTTATTTATATGAGTATGTGTTATGCATGTATAGGTCAAATCTATGTGTTCATATTATGTTTAAATGTTCTTGGTAGATAAGTAGCGCCCGTCGATAATCAAGTCTTTAATTGAGAATTTGCGAAAAATTAACTCTGATTTTCATAAATAAATTCGGTAAATTCTTTAAAATAAAACGGGGCGTTACAGGGTGCTTGTAAGGTTCTAATCGAAGCCAAGGCATAGTCGAGAAATAGTACTTATGTTAAGAAGTAGGGGGGCATGACGCATGAGATTAATTCAAATTTTCATAATAAAAGTAAAAAAAATAATTATAAAATGTTAATATAGTTTACTATGTATTCTATTGCCCTAGAATCAAATTTCTTGTAATTCGGTTTTTTGAACCTTCTCAAAATAAATATTACAATGTGTTTGCTCTCGACTATTTTCATTATCTTCGATTTTTGAGTTCATCATATTCGCTGTTTGACGGGTGTCGAATCCAACAATAATAAATTCCTACTTCTAAAATAACTGTAGTAGTGGTAAACAGGGTCGTATCCACAGGGATTGACTAGACAAAATATTGATGCAACTATTCGTGAAAGAAATAAAAATAAAACTAATAAGGGGTTTTGATGATTTTATCTAACTACGAAAACAAAAAAATAAAATCTAACTAGAGACGAAAAGAAAACGAGTGATTCAAAATAGAATAAATATACAACCAAAGGAAAAATTCGTAGAGATGGTTCAAAGATAATTCTCCTATTCTCGATTAAACTGGTTATGGTTATTGGTACGACCTAACAACATATCCTTCCTTACTTGCTCGATAATTATGATACAATCTCTAATTATTTCTCTAATCAACAGACAATTTTAGATACGATCATAGATTAATCAACATCATTGAAATTTAGAAGGACCACCATTTCTAGCCAACAAACGTATATGTAGGTTCATTTAGACTAGATCATAAATCTTCCTAAACACCCTTAGTAATCAACTATGTTCTTTGCTACCAATATTAGAACAATCAAACAATTACGGATTTAATGTCCTAAATGGCAATATGCTATTCCGATAATTGAATAAAGAGTTCTTTTTGCATTAATCAACCAAAATAACAATTGATAATAAACACAAGAGACAAACGAATAAAAGAGAATAGAGAATAGAAAATTTAATTAGATCTCACAAATCATGAAGAACCAAATCTAGAATAATATTTGGCTGGAAAATTTTAATTATCCATAAACATGGGAGTCTTCTCCTAATTATTAATGAAAAATAAAATAAAAGAAGAAAAGAGAAGAAGTGAAGGGGGCCTGCGTAGATGGGGAGAGAAGATGAAAAGAAAAGATAGAACTAAAATCTTTTTTTAATCCCACCAGTCTAATCCTAATCCTAGTAGAAAGTACGTAAAAAATAATAATGAGATTATTCTGTCTCCAAAATATCCTAATAAAATAGAACAGTCCAAAAATAAAGACTCCTAAAATGTTTTACTATTATCTTTCCAACTTGAGACTCCTTTCTTCTTCCAACTGTTGTAGAAAATTAGCGTGCCCACGCCTTAACACAAATTCGTCTCTTTCACTCTCCAATCATCATAAAAGTCCGAGAAATCCTACAAAAATTATAAAAATCAATTAAAATCAATAATTAAGCTCAAACAATCACCGAAAAAGTATGAAAAACATGACAATTAGCATACCAAGAATATGACTTATCACTATTATTCTCTTAATTTAAGACATGAAAGAGATCGACTTGTATATAAACATTTACGAATAGTTAAAATGTGAAAAGTCAGCAACTTGAACATGTTTGAATAAGAGATGAGAAGACAAAATAAGTAGAACGGGTTTGTTGGTTTTGTGTGCCAAAAAATATATGGTTACAGAGGAAGCACATATAAGTGCCCAAAAAAATAAAAGTAAACAAAAATCAACAAAAATTATTAATAGGGCAAAGCCTCATATCGGGTGGAATAATAATCCCTAGGTCAGAAGAGTACCTGGGTCCACAGTACATATTACAGAACTGAAGAAATAAAACAAAAATAAATGTTGACATAGTGGGCTAACAAGTGCTCAATAGTACAATATGCAACACTATTGTAGGTTAAAAGTAAAACTAAAGACCTGATCTAATGAAAACAAAATGAGGGATAATCAAGCTGAATCATCCACACGAGTGTGAGTAGGCGAATTGGGTGCGTCGCTCGGGGGCTGTAGTGTCAAGTCCAACTAGGAAGTCAGACGGTTGATTTCTCTTATGGAATATATGTGTGATCTTGTGTTGGGGCGACTATAATGTGTGTATGATACGCATGATTGGATACTAATGTGCACGAGCCTTGGTGACCCAATGTATGAAGGGCAGCGACGAGGACGACAACATGGAACAATATCCAAATATCCGTGGAGATGAGTGCAACTATCTAAAGACTAATCTAAAGTACTTGTATTTTTGCGTCAAAGCTCTAGGAGACCTGAAGGGGTGTTTGGAAGGCGCTGATGAGCTCCCCTTGGTGGTCCTTAGGGATGACAATGAGTCAAGTTGACCTGGAAAGTTCCGAACCGGGGATATGACTCATGGATGAACTTGCCCTGTTTTTCAAATGTGGAAGACCCGACTTAGCCCGTTTTGAAAAATAGTGTACTAGGACCAACTCCGACGGGTGCAAGTCAGGTTAGACTAGAGTGGGCCCAAGTCGAATTACCACCTTTGGTGGCTTAAAATTGGACCTCCTCCTCCCGCAACTCTCGTGTGGTGATCGAATAAGCCATCAATTTTCTATTTGATTCAAAGAGAATTGAGTCTCACATTTAGATGACACGTGTATCATACCACTGCTCAAAGAGAGCCTCTATTCTTCTATGATACGAACGAGCTAGCCTTCGGGACATATACCCATAAGTATATGTCAATCCAAATCATTAGGTGTGTATCAACTCTAATTACACATCCAAGTAGCCTTACTCATTTTATAAAATGGAACTCAACGATCGGCAAGGGCGTGGTTATTTATAGGTTTTTTAATGTATTTTGATTTATTTTTCGGGTTAACCAGTTAATTTGGAAAAAAATTGTTAAGTAAAATTTGAATAAGATTTAAATTTGTATTAAAATAATATTTAAAATAAAATAAACAAAGTTAATGTTTGTCCGATTTTGTGTCTTTATTTCATGTTTAATTTTTTTTTTCCCATTTGTAGGTTTTTCATAGCATATTTGGTTCATTTCGTTGGTTTTGTGTTTTTCTCTTTAGTTTCTATTTGTACGTCTTTTTTGCCGTGTTTTGCTTCGTGTTTTTCCTTGTTTTTGTTTGCAGGAGGTAGGTTGTGGTTGGTACTGCTTGAGCCGAGGCCGTGATATCGAGAATATCAGTTGCCGAACCCAGAAGACGATGAAGAAGACTGAAGGAAGGACTAAAAAATGGATCCCGAATTTTTCGCGACTCACGAGTTGACTGGCGACAATGTCGCGACCTGCGAGATTAGCAGAGGCTGAAGGAGCAGTTCACGAGCTCGAGTCGCGACTCGCGAGATCTTGTCGCGACTCCCCCGGATTTTGAAGAATATGCCGACGTCGCGATTCGCGACCTGAAGAAGTGGATAAGTCGCGACTCGCGACTTGGCGACGTGAAAATCGAGATGCGGGATTTTTAATCTGTTTTTGGACCTAGGGCATGCCATTCGATTCCAGACTTATGTTTTATGCTTTTTCTCTCTAGAAAACTTGTTCCTTTCTTTAGTTTTTCACTTTGGATTTGATTTGGAGATTGAAAAACTCCTTCTCTCGCTTTGGATTTGGATTGCACTTGGATTTGAAATTGGGATTTTTCCATTAATCGTAAGTTCTTTTTCTCAAATTTGCTTATGATAATTATGGCTTGGGTTGATGTGAATTGTGATGTTGAATTCGTAATGAGTAGCTAAATCCATTCGCTAGGGATAGAGGATGATTGTTTCGGTTTGTTTATGATTGCATATCTAATTAATTGCTCAAATCTATGCGAATTGTGTGAATTATAGGTTTATTGATTGATCACCATTCTAACCTAGTTAATCGACGTTTAGAACCGAGAGGGAAGACGTCGGTCGATTTAGGCTCGTTTAGAATAGACTTGTTCGTTAATGTATTGTCTATGTGTTAGTGGAATTGATAGCTGATCATTTATATTCACTCTCTTGTTACGAAGAGTTATTGGAGTGAACCTCTGAACGAGAAACGATTCAAGTCCCTTAACCGAGCAATTGATTGCCCGATAATTGTGTTAGAACCGAAAGCAATTATCCCCAATTCCCTAGCTCTCTTATCATTAAGTGAATTTGTTTGCTATTGAAATTGCATTTTATTTAGTTTAAAATCATTAGCTGATACTTGAAAACCCCAAACTATTGAATTAGAGTGTTTTAGGAATTTGTTTTCTATTTTTTGTGATTGAATAATCGTACAATTAAATCCGAGTAACCTTCTTTGCGATACGACCCGAGGAACGAATATCTCGATTCTACTCCGGTAAAAATACTCACGCCAGTTAATTTGATGTAAAATGAGAGAGACATGATTGAAAATTATTGGTAGTTAAAATGATGTAAGGAGACGAATAATGAATTAAAGTTGATGCGATGCGATTGATTAACATTATTTAACTATATTAATAATCTATATATATTGAAAGAGATTGATGGATAATTTAAAAGTGAAAAGTTGACTTTTTGTTCAAATAGTTTGACTTACTTATTAAAGAAATTTTCTGATTAAAATTAAAATTAACTTTTATTCTTTTGCATGAAATTTAGTTTTTAAAATTGTATGCTTAAATATTGTCCTACCTTTTTGGCTTCTTATAGTGCACTTTAATTTTTAAAATTGAAGGCCAAATATTGTCAACTTTTTTTGAACAATTTATGTGTCATATTATTTGAAAACAATTATGTATCAAAAAATCTGTTATAAATGTAAATATATTTAAAAATAGACTACAATAGTTTTTGGTATTACGTTTTTCACAATAAATTTCAAACTATGAAAATTTTCATTTACATTAATATCCTAAATAAAATATTTGCAGTTTAATTACATATAAAATCATCATGATGTTAAAAAGGTTTGTGTTTATCATTTATCATTAAAAAATAAATTAATGGTAGAAAATATATTACTTAATAATGAAGTAATGGTAAATGCTAATTTTTTACAATTAATTTATTTATATGTTTAAAAACATAATAATTGATATGCAAAATATCTCTACAATGTAGTAACTCATATTAGTATTGAGTTATCATGATAAAATATGGTGTTATTTGATATTTTTTAATTTAGTTTAATAAATAAAGTTAAATTTTATTTATAGAGATAATATATCGTTGTTTTGTATTTGTATATAATAATATGGATGTCAAATCAAATATCATTAAAAGATAATTAAATTAGGATATCATATATGAAAAATAAAATACAAACAAAAAAGTTATAAAATTTCAAAAGTAAGAAAAAGAAATATTTATAATAATTGATTTATGAATTAAATAAGAAAAAAAAATATAATATATGGTAATGTAGGAAAATGAAACATAAAATAGTTTCGATGACTAATTGTAGAAGAAAAGAACATGAATCATAAAATATTTTTTATTTCATAAAGTTACATATATTTAAGGGAAATAAGAAAATTTCATTTGATCGATCGCGTGCTTGAATTAGGTAAATGCTCAGAATTAGTTGATATTTAAAATAGTCAAAAAAACATGACACTGAGGTTGATTCCGGGTGACTGGGTTATTGTTCAATGACACAACTAAAGTTGATCCCGAGTGACCAAGTTACGGTTCAGTTTGACCAGACCAAATCGATTATTGAACTAAATATAATTTTTAATATTAAAAATACTTTATTACAATAAATGTAATGTTGTTCGTACTCCAAATAATCATATTAAGAATGCTTTTATGACAACATGTTAAAGAATTTATGAACACTTATATATTATTTTATTAATATTTATGTGAACAAAATTAATGATTGCATTACAACAATTAATGTACGGTAAATCCATAGTTCTCAGGAGAGGACTGTTTTCAAACCGATCATGTTCTTTATTCAATTATTTATTGGTTGCATCAAAATTTAAATTATTAATATTTTAATTAATACATATATATAGTACTTTTTATAATAATTTTATTAAATAATATTGATTAGATTTATGTTCAATTTGAAAATTTTCAATGTTGAAATTAAATGATAAATAATTTATAAATCTACATTTTATTTCAATATGTACTTTTATTTATATTAAAAATAGCTTTAAATGTAACAAAATTTATTTAATAAATCGTACTGATACTACCAGTCTGGCCGATTCGTGTTGACCGGTTCTCTAACAAATATTTTATTAAAGCGAACCGAACTAGTTGATAAACGAGTTCTTGGTCCATACGGTCAGACTGTTCTGTCAGATCCAATTTTGAATATAATGGGTAAATTATGATTAACGTTTTTTATAAATCAAATTTATAATATAATCATAATATTGTTGCCCGTGCATCGTACGGGCCACGCACTAGTATTAAGAATAATAAAATTATGTTAAAATTGACTTAAATTTGAGTTGAAATTATTATTATTATTTTTTTCGGAGAAACCTATAAACAAGCGAGCATTGAACATTTTTTTAAAATCTTATTTTACTTATATTTAAATTATTATTCATTATTTAATTCTTCGACAAATGCGAGATAAATCCCTAACACTATATTCAATTTCCTGCTCAGTCCCTAGCATATTTTTTTTTACTCTGCACTACCTAATAACATTGGGTTTAATGCACCAAACCCCCCTGTATTATACGAAATTTGCGCGTTTCCTCCCTGTATTTTAAAAATTGCGTCAGACCCCCTTCTATTAAGGTTTTGTATGCGCGAAACACCCAAAATTTAGACGTTTTAAGGTGTTTCGCACATACAAAACATTAATAGAAGGGGGTCTGACGCAATTTTTAAAATACAGGAGAGAAACGCGCAGATTTCGTATAATACAAGGGGGTAATGTATATTTTACCCTAATAACATTATTCTCTTTCCTTTCAATTCTCCATATAAATACTAATTCTATTATTATTCATTTATTTTAATTGTCAAGATATCTTCTTCTCATTGTGCTCTCTCTCCAGATCTGAAAAACTCTGGCCGCCGCTTTGGTCATCAAGGCGCTCAAGGAGCCCGATCGCGACCGCAAAAAGGCCAAGAACATCAAGCCCAAACACTTCGTCATTGAGCCGGCGGCAGAAAGGGCGGTGGCCCGAAAAAGAAACCGGTTAGCCCATCCTTGAAAGCTGGTCTGCAGTTTCCGGTCGGTGGGATCGGCCAGTTCCTGAAGAAGGAGCGGTACGCCCAGCGGGTGGGCAGCGGCGCGCCGCTGTACATGGCCGCCGTGCTGGAGTACCTTGCGGCTGAGGTGTGTTATGGTCCATCTTGATTTTTCCATTTGTTTGTTCGACATTTTCAATTTTGTGTTCAATTAAATTCCCAATAATCTTTATCTGATATGTGTAATTAGTGATTATTTTTCTTCGATTATTTTGTTATCTTCATGCTTTTGTGCATTTTGATGGATTAATTTGGGTGAGAGAAATGTTTGTATAGGATTGTTTCATTTTGGTGGGTTTTGCAAACTAATTATCCCTTATGGCTTAGATTTGCTGAGCATAATAAATCTCTAAGGCCTCTGTGACATAAGAACAGTTTCACAAAGTTCTTATTAGATATATTGTTGTTTAGATCAATTAATTATTTTAGATAATTAACTATTCTCAACAAGTATTATGCTTCTGGTTATCAAATTTGAATTTCAAAGATGACTTCTGGCTATCGTCTTGAAATATTTATGCTCTTTTGGTTCAGGGCATGGGGGAAAGATGCCAATTAGGCTATTAGTTCTATTTTACTAATATTTAGGATGACCGATATTCTTGTCATGTAGTAGTTTACTATGTGATTACGAACAAAAGATGGAACTTATAGTGACCATTTCTTTGTGATGTGGGTCTCGGATGATTTTAGAATTGGCTGTAATTCTGCCCCTTTACTGCATAGATGATGTTACAAACTTGAAGAAACGCACGAATATATTACTGGAGTTTAATCCAAAACAAAAAGGATAGTTCTGTTTGTTAGTTATGGTTCATTAAAGGTTCTACCAAGATATNGAAATGATGAGGAGCTCGAGAAGCTTCTTGTTGCTGTGACGATTGCACATGGTGGAGATATTCGAACATATATCCAGTTCTTTTGCCCAAGAAATCTGATAAATCAACTGAGAAGGCGCCTAAATCACCGGCTACGGCAACCAAGTCTCCCGAGAAGGCCTAATTTAGTGTTGTTTCTTGTTGAATGGTGGAATTGAATGACTGTTGTTTTTCTTAGGGTCTGCTGTGTTATTGTTGGTATGTTGGGTGGGTTGTGTTGTTTATAACATAAGTTATTTGTATTATTATCCATTTAATTGGTGTCTCATGATTTACAAAAAAAAGATGTTATTGTAACCACTAATGGAAATCCGAGCTTTGAGCTCGCGGGTCCGCCATTAATATTTAAAAATAAAAATAAAAAAGTTGTGCGCCGGTGCGAGCTTTAATCTTTGAGCGCCGGTGCGAGATTTGATCTATGAGCGGAGGTTGAGCTTTAAATCACTCACGCATTAGTTTTTATGAGTTTTTTAATGTGTTTAATCAAGTTTCCTTTCCAAGTTGTCATAAACTCAACACAATAATGAACAAATACATGACTACTCTAAATTCTACGTATATGTTCTAAATTCTACTATTTTCAGCCAAATCACGCGTAAACGATCCAAATGACATGGAAGACATGACGGATTAATGAAATCACAATTAGTAAATTGGTATCAGTTTTATCTATAATAATACCACTTCTTTTTCTATTTAGTACCAGTTCATGATGAATTAGTACCTACTTTGTAGAAAGAACAAAAAATTGATTATTTAAATTTTGGTCAACATTTATAAGAAGCAGTACCAACCATAGAGTAAGATAGTATCAGTTTTATGTTGTTGTAGTACCTGATATTGGATCTTCAGTACCACTTGTAACGAACATATAAAAAAACCGAATTTGGGTCTCAAATGATATTTATATAACTCATAATCACTCTCACATTAGTTTCTATGAGATTTAAAATATTTTTAATTGAGTTTAATCGCAATTTATTAATCATGAACTCGACACACTAATGACAAAACACTACTAATGAACTTCATCTCATTGAATGACACACTTAATCTCATAAAATCATACATACATGACTACTCCAAATTCTACCTATATGTTTTAACTTCCACTATTTTTCATCGAAATCACGCGTAAACGATCCACGTGTCATGGTAGACATAAAGGATTAGAGAAATCACGATTCTTAAAATAGTACCTGTTGTAGCAAATATAGTACCGCATCTTCTTCTACATGGTACCTGTTTTTGATTGATTAGTACCTATTTTTGTGAACGGAAATGAATCATTTCAATTTTTGTCAACATTTACAAAAGTAGTACCAGACATAAAGTAAGATAGTACCAGTTTATATTGTTGTAGTACCTGATATTGTGTCTTTAGTACCAATTCTACTAAACACATAAAAACACCGAATTTCGGTATCAAAAAATGTTTATATGACCCATAATCACACTCACATTAGTTTATATGAGATTTAAGATGTTTTTCATTGAGTTTAATCGTAAAATGGTCATGAACTCGACACACTAACGAGAAAACACTACTAATACACTTCATACATTGAATGACAAACTTCATCTCATAGAATCATCATACATGACTACTCTAAATTCTACCTATATGTTTTCTTCCACTATTTTTTATCTAAATCACGCGTGAATGATCCACGTGTCATGGTAGACATGAAGAATTAGATAAATCACGATTCTTAAAAGAGTACCTGTTTTAGTCAAAATAGTACCGCATCCTTTTCTACGTGGTACCTATTTTTGATCGATTGGTACCTATTTTTGTGAACGAGAATGGATTATTTCAATTTTGGTCAACATTTACAAGAAGTAGTACCAGACATAGAGCGAGACAGTACCGGTTTTATGTTGTTGTAGTACCTGATATTGGGTCTTCAATACTACTTGTAACGAACATATAAAAACACCGATTTTCGGTCTTGAATGATGTTTACATGACCCGTAATCACTCTCCCATTGGTTTATATGAGATTTAAAGTGTTTTTAGTTGAGTTTAATCTTAAAATGGTCATGAACTCGACACACTAATGAGAAAACACTACTAATACACTTCATTTCATTGAATGACACAATTCATCTCATAGAATCATCACACATGACTACTCCAAATTCTACATATTTGTTTTAACTTCAACTATTTTTCATCCAAATCAAGATAGAACAATCCACATCAAAAGGTAGACATGAAGGATTAAAAAAAAATTACGATTCCTAAATAGCACCAGTTTTTGCAATAATAGTACCACATACTGTTCTACGTAGTACCAGTTTTTGAGCGATTAATACCTACTTTTTTAAAGGAAATTTGGTTATTTCAATTTTACTTAACATTTTACAAAAAGTAGTACCGGACCTAGAGAAAGATAGTACCACTTTTGTATTGCAGTAGTACCTGATATTGAGTCTTCAGTACCACTTGTAATGAACACATAAAAACACCGAATTTCGGCCTCGAATGATGTTTACATGACTCGTAATCACTCTCACATTGGTTTATATGAGATTTAAAATATTTTTAGTTGAGTTTAATCCTAAAATTGTCATGAACTCGACACACTAATGAGAAAAAACACTACTAATACACTTTATTTCATTGAATGACACACTTCATCTCATAGAATCATCACACATGACTACTCCAAATTCTACATATTTGTTTTAACTTCAACTATTTTTCATCCAAATCAAGCTAGAACAATCCACGTTAAAAGGTAGACATGAAGGATTAAAAAATATTACGATTCCTAAACTAGCACCAGTTTTTGAAATAGTACCACATATTGTTCTACGTAGTACCAGTTTTTGAGCGATTAATACCTACTTTTTAGAAGGAAAATTGATTATTTCAATTTTACTCAACATTTACAAAATGTAGTACCGGACCTAGAGAAAGATAGTACCACTTTTGTATTGCAGTAGTACCTGATATTGGGTCTTTAGTACCACTTGTAATGAACACATAAAAGCACCAAATTTTGAGCTCGAATGATGTTTACATGACCCGTAATCACTCTTACATTGGTTTATATGAGATTTAAAATGTTTTTAGTTGAGTTTAATCGTAGAGTGGTCATGAAGTCGACACACTAATGAGAAAACACTATTACTACATTTTATTTCATTCAATGTTACACTTCATCTCATAGAATCATCACACATGACTACTCCAAATTCTACTTATTTAATTTAACTTCAACTAGTTTTCATCCAAATCAAGCTAGAACGATCCACGTGAAAAGGTAGACATGAAGGATTAAAAAAATACGATTCCTAAACTAGTACCAGTTTTTGCCATAATAGTACCACAAATTGTTCTACGTAGAGTTTTTGAGCGACTAGTATCTACTTTTGTGAAGGAAAATTGATTATCTCAATTTTACTCAACATTTACAAAAAAGTAGCACAGAACCTAAATAAGAATAGTACAACTTTTGTATTGCAGTAGTACCTGATATTGTGTCTTTAGTACCACATAAAAACAACGAATTTCAGCTTCAAATGACGTTTACATGACCCATAATCACTCTCACATTGTTTTATATGAGATTCAAAATGTTTTTAATTGAGTTTAATAGTAGAATAATCATGAAATCGACGCACTAATGAGAAAATCATCCTTAATATATATCACAACCACAATATTCCATATATAATGCAATTAAAATCATTTAGGTGCAACATTCCATATATGAAATTAAAAACAAATATTAAAATTGTTGGATAATCCATTAATAAAACTTCATTTTATTTTTCCACCAAAAACCGTTACAATTTTTTTCTTTACTTTTTTTTTTCTTTTAATAAAAAACATTTACAATTTGTTTTTGATTAATAAAATCGTTACAATTTTGTAAAACCGTTATAATTGTTGGATAAATCCATTAATAATTGTTGGATGAAACTAAAACCAAATATTATAATTGTTGGATAATCCATTAATAAAACCGTTACAATTTTTATTTTCATTTTATTAAACATTTTTCTAATTAGCTGATTGGATTTAGTGGTATAACCAAACCTCTTACAATTGCACAAAAAAGAAAACAATATAATAATAATAATAATAATAATAATAATAATAATAATAATAATAATAATAACAACAACAACAACAACAACAACTACAACAACTACAACAACAATTTCAATAGTTTTTTAACATAATTAATAGGTAAGGATCTTAAAATTTATAAATATTAAATTATTCATTTCATTTTATGCAATGAATAGTGATAAAGTTTAATACTTTTATGATCTTTATTTTTACTAATGTCAAAAATTTTAAAATGTGATACTATTATTTAACATAATTATAATTTTAATATTATATAACTAAATATAATTTAAACATCTGTGCATGTGCACATGATCAAATACTAGTTAATATTTATAACCTAACTTTAATTATTAATTATAATATTATATTTATTTTATTATTTAATTAATAAATATATTTAAAATAAATATTACTAGAAGAAATTGAGGATGTATACAATTATTTCTGTTAATTAATTTTAACTCATTATTTTAAACACATCAATTTTTAAAAAAAAAAGTTCAAAATATAGAATTAATGTTTATTTTTTTTTCAATATATTTTTTTAAATTAAACGAAAAATATAAAATTATTAATTTTGATAGTACAAAATTCATATAGATAAACATGATATATCACACATTAAATTTGTCAATATCCTATCATAGTATTTATTTTTTTTTTCTTTTAAAAGACATGCGAGATTTCTCAATAAATAATGTAATCTCGTTTTAACGGTCATTCATGTATTAAAATTTTATTCTTTTAGTGTTTTAAAATATTTATAATGTAATTTGTCGTGTTTTAGTTCTTATACTACGTAGCATAAATAAAAATTCATGTTGTGTATGCTATTAGAGTATAAAATTTGTTTGTTAGAAATTTCAAAATAATTGCATGTAATAAAATGAGGGAGATTTTATTTTGGCATGAAATGTTTGAATTTAAACGGAATAAATTTCATTTGGTATGGATAGAAGTGTATTTGAAAATTTTGAACATAAATAAGTGGTATGAATTTTATTTGGTATGGGTATGAAAATCGAATTTTAGGTTGAT